AACACAGAAACACAAAATGATAAGACAAAACACAGAGACACAGATAGACATTAAACACACACATAAAGAACCATTAATATAACAACCAAACAGATCCCTCACTAAAAGCAGTCACATTGTGCTTTAAGATGAATGAATAAGTCTTTCTTGAATATATGAAATGAAGATGTGGAGCGCAAAGAGTTTGGTAAATTGTTCCAGTCTGATGGTGCTTTGAATCTGGATGCTCTTCGTCCGATGACTCTGGAGGTTTTGGGTACCACAAAGGAAAGATAATTTAATTGTCTAAGTGAGTACGGTGATGAAAATTGAAAAAAGTATTGTTGAAGGTAAAATGGACAGAAAAGAAAAATGCATTTAAAGATGAACTGTAACCAATGAAAGTGCATTCTTGCATTAGGCATTAACCAATCCAGTGTTTCATACAGAACACAGTGATGAGTGAGATGTGGACATTGCAAGATGAATCTACACAAACTGTTGAAGGTAACACAGAAAGGACGTAGGTGAGAATCAGATGTATTTTGATAGATAATATCAGCATAAAAGCGAATAAAGCAACCTCACCCAACCTAACCTATTTTTTATTTCCCGTTAAAATGGTAACTTAAAAACATACCCATTATTTTCTGATAATCTGACCATGTAGTTCACGCTTTCAACCACCAGATGGAGCCAGAATTGCAGAACTGTGGCCTGTGTGAATTGGCTCGTCTGAAGCGCTTATCCATCAGTGTTCTCTGCATTCTTCACATTATTAATCAGTCAAAATACATGGTGACTTGTTAATAAAAACAAACTAAAAGTACGCTTAGACTAGTCACGAGTCTTATCATTTCTTTATCTAACCTGCACCAATGGCCTTTAAACGCTACCAGACCAGAACAAGAATAATATTTTCAAGCACCTGATATTTAGAACAAACAGTGACTCAGAAAAGTGAAAGAAGAGTGAAGTTTGTCCTCTTTAGTGGTTACATTGATTTTCTGGCATTGATCCTGAACATGCCCGGACATGTCAGTAATTGGCCACAGTTTTACTGCACTGCTGCGCTTTTGAACTCCTCCTGTGTGTGTTAGTTCAGTCCACACCGCACAAGTGTTTATCACGAACGAAAGGTGATAATGATAGCCTGCTTAAAGAACACTCACTATACCCTTTTCTAAACACTGATATTGTCATGCAGTGTTGAGAATGTTACTTTTAAAATGTATTCCCCTACAGATTACAGATTATATACCCCAAAATGTAGTTTGTAACATAATCCATTAAATTACTTAAAGTGAGTAACGTAATCTGAATACTTCGGATTACTTGATATTGTCATATTTTTTAAAACTACATGAATGTAGTGACCACATCCTGAAAATTCATGTTTGTTCTCTTCAAATGGGCCCTGGTTTAGACCTGGTTTAGTCCTGGTTTAGTCCTGGTTTTAGTCCTGGTTTAGACCTAGTTTAGACTTGGTTTAGACCTGGTAATTAGTCCTGGTTTAGACCTAGTTTATACATGGTTTAGTCCTGGTTTTAGTCCTGGTTTAGAAATGGTTTAGTCCTGGTTTAGACCTGGTTTAGTCCTGGTTTAGACCGGGTTTAGTCCTGGTTTAGACCTGGTTTAGTCCTGGTTTAGTCCTGGTTTAATCCTGGTTTAGACCTGGTTTAGTCCTGGTTTTTGTCCTGGTTTTAGTCCTGGTTTTAGTCCTGGTTTAGTCCTGGTTTAGACCTGGTTTAGTCCTGTTTTAGACCTGGTTTAGTCCTGGTTTTAGTCCTGGTTTAGCCCTGGTTTGCCCTGGTTTTAGTCCTGGTTTAGCCCAAAATGTGAAAACAGGAAAATACCGCCACGTAATCCATTTATTTCAACAAAGTGACTGTAATCCAATTACCGCTCACTGAAACAGTAACTGTAACTGAATACAGTTACTCATAATTTGTACTCTGATTACATAACTCCGGTACATGTAATCTGTTACTCCCCAACACTGTTGCCATGTATATCAATTATAACATATGCAACCCAGACAAGCAGACACAGTAGACGTTTATATGGTCTGTATTGCAATGTCACTCACAAAATATGATACTACTGCTGTGTATCTGTTTTAACGCATCAATTCTGAGTTAAAACAGATATTAAGAGAGTCTGGATCTACACAGGCAGGCAACTTAAAACAGGGTAGTACTATACTGTAAATTATACGCTGTAATAATCATATATGGGTGGCTGATAAAACTACACAACATGGGGTAAGTCAGTCTTTGCACACAAATATACGATAATAAAATGTAATTGATTATATTGAATAGATGAGTAGATTACATGGCTGACAGACATGGCATTACTAAGGGCTAATGTAGATTTAGAACTGACATTAATAGCCTGCTGGCAGCTGCTCTTAAGCCACGATTGTCATTGACAGTAGGCCTGTAAAAAGGTCAAGAAGAGTCCAAACCAACAGAGAAAATGCGTTTCATTCATTCTACGCGGGCTAGTCAAGGACACGGTGAATTAGTGGACTGGAGTATTTTTTAAAGGTCCTATCTTTTGCTAAATTGACTCTTCTGAGGTTTAAGCCATGTTAGATGTTGTTATCTCATCAAAAACATACCTGGAGTTGTGTTTTGTTTGTGTAACCTTTTATTTTCCATCTGTCTACATCTCCAAAGCTCAAAATGCTCAAAGTTAACAGCCTTTTACCTTTTGTTTATTAAGCCTTATAGATATTGGCCATTCCAGGGCTGAAATTATCCAAGTGATTCCAATTATCCAAGGTGTATGGAGTTTAAAAACATATTGGAGCACTTCCTATTACCACATGACATCACAAGGTGTAACAGCGTATTTTCTGTCTAAATATGCAGGGTTTGTTGTTAAATCTTGTGTGAATGAAACAAAAACAACTCCAGGTATGTTTGTGATGAGGAAACAACATCAGGCTTTTACATAGATCAGAAAATATAATATAGATCCTTTAAAGAACCTAAAATAAATACAATACAATTACATTTTTCACAGCTAAAACGAGAATATAAAAATAAAAAAGATGAATTATAAAGAAGAGAAATAAAGCACAGAAATTCAGGCACATGTAAAATAAGTATCTTGCATAGGGTGACCAGTTTTTCAAAATAAAAAAATGGGACATCCCTGGTTTGGGTTGGTTGGTAATTATAAAATTGTGAAACAAGTGCGTAATTAAATAAATTATGGAACAGTTGCTGCAATGAGCTGAAACAAGTGACTTCTCTTTTTCAATTCAAAATAACTTTTAAGAGAACAGCAATGGAAAAATATTTGACAGTAAGGAGATTTTTGTTATACTTAGAATAACTGTTGATTTTGTTTATTATGATGTAGTAAAATGCTGTGTTAATGTCCTTAATTTTGAGATGAATGTCCATGAACGTGCTGTAGTTGGAGATAAGGGAAGGCACATTAAGCTTTAGCTTCTGTATTTAGTATCTAGTATTTGATTTGATTGTGCTACATATGTAATCTGTTTTATTTTATGACATTAGATTAAATATACAGGAATGTATGTAGATTAGGGATGTAACAATAACCAAAATATCATGATACAGTATCGTCAAAGTTCTCACAATAATATCGTGGAGGATCACAATATATCGAATTACAAGTCTCTTTGCTTAAATTAAGAGTTATGCTGCAGCAATAGCTAAAAAGACACAGAGAACTAGATACACCATGATACTTTGCTCCATTTCAGTGTAGACTACAAGAAGAAATAACAGTTCTAATCACTTTTAAGTCATAGTTCTTTGGATTAAGTCTTGTCAAGGCATTTTAAGAGGAAAAAGTAGCGTACTAACAGTTTTGTTAGCCTCCACAAAATATCGCAATAAATATCGTACCGTGAGGTTCATACGACGATATCGTCTCGTGAGACTTGGATATCGGTACACCCTTAATGTAGAACACAGGTGTCAAACATAAGGCCCGGGGGGCCAGATCTGGCCCTCCAAGACCTTTAATCTAATTTTCTACTTAAATATTTGAATTATATTTTCTATTAAAATATTGCTAATTTTCTGCGTCGCTAAGCATAGCAGAATCTCCAGTGCCTCTGTGCGTGGCCCCTCCCACCAGAGCAGTACAAAAGAACACTTGGCTCTTTCCAAACAATCCTTTTTGACTGTTGACCGTGACACACTCATCAGTAAAATGTCAAAAATAAGAAAAGTGGACGCTGAGTGCAGGATTTTCCAAGAAAAAATTGACTTATTTCTATTTGCATACAAGATAATGTTAAAACATTGTGTTGAAATAGAATTTTTCTTAAAGTTTCAGGTTGTTCATAATATTATAATATTTTGTAAAAGAAAGAGTTCATCAATTAAAAAAGATTTCTGTAATAGATTTGTGTTTCTCTGCACAAATATTTGAACTTATTGTTATTTTTGGGGTTTATTTGCCATGAGTTATCTGATCCGGCCCTTTGGGATCAAAGTAGGTTGGATATGCCCCCCGGACCAAAATTAGTTTGACACCCCTGATGTAGACTGTAATGAGTTAAACACTGATCAAATAAAAACACATGAACATTTTCTGTATTTACTTAAACAAATGACTATCTATGTCTTTCTTTACAGTTGGAAGGAATCAGATTGGTCAAAAACTGGGACACCTGGGACATTTCTTGTATAAAACTGAGACAAATCAATGGTTTTGCATAAATCTGCTGAGACACAGGTCACAGAGGTCAAAACTGGGACTGTCCGGGGTAAATAGGGACATCTGGTCACCCTAAGCTTGCATAAAAATAAAATCATAATCCATAAAACACAAAATATCACTTAAACAGTATTAGATTTTGACACATGCTTTAAAAAAAAACATACAAAAAACGCAAAAAATAACCCATATCATGTTCAGTTTTCACGTAGCCTTTGAAGTCGTTGCGGCGGATCACGCACATCCACGCGCTCCTCTCCTGGCCCCGCCCCTCCCTCGCGCTCTCTCTCTCCTCTTTGATCTCGGCGCCGCTGTGAGCTCGCGACGCTGCTCCCCGTGTCCCCGTGCTCTCTCGCTCTCTCTCTCTCAGACTGTACACCGGAGCACACGGAGGAGGAGCGGACCCCAGCACCGGCACGTCGCACACACGGAGGAGCGGACCCGGGCTGACATGAGCGCACGAGCGGACCGGTGCGAGACCACTGCACGCCTCTCACCGGTCTGCAACTGTGGGCTTCTTCGGTCCACTTTAAACTAAAAAAACAAAACAAAAACCCACCCGGATTACTGTCTCTTTTTGTGCAGGTGAGATTGTAAACGTCGAAACGAGCCGCTGCTGCTCCCTGGATACAAACTTCAACAAGAGGGAGAACTTCTGGACTTTTATGCAAGCTCAGTTAAACAAGTATTTGCAGGTTTTAGCATGTGAACTTGTAGATAGTCCCAGATCTAAACGTTAAGGGGTGACTTCAGAGGAAATAAAAGCTACTGATTAAGTAATGTCGTATTACTTAAGCATTGTGGAACCTCAATTTGAAATCTGGCTCAAATGAGAGTCCTTTTTTGTCCTATTAAAATGTAGGCAACCAAACAGCTACTAACCTGCTGCAACATTCCCTGAAGTTGCATTATGTTAGGTCTACTGCGTCTTATTAGGTTTAGGAATATCTACATGACTGATTTCAAGTCAGAAAATCTTGATTTGAGCAATTTTGAGTTGAGGTCATCTTGATAGAACAAAATCTGAACCTTCAACAAAAAAAAAAAAAAAAAAACTTTAAGTGCTGTATTTTCTATTGTTCCTTTTCAAAAACATACCTGGACTTGTGTTTTGTTTCATACTCACATGTTTAACACACTACTGCATACATTCTTTGAAATATTTTGTCTTTTCTTGCAGATAAACATCAAATCAAAATGGTTTTGTTATTTGATGCCACCATTTCACTAGTGCTGGCGCTTCACGTGATGTGTTCAACTCTGGTAAGTCTATATTCCTAAGTGATTCTTTTAGACGGAATAATAATATGCAGTGGTGGATGAAGTACTCACTTTTGTTACTTAAGTAGAAGTACAGATACAGAGACAAAAAGTTACTCAAGCAAAAGTATCACATGAAGAATCTACTCAAGTTAAAGTATTAAGAGTATCTGTTTTAAAACTGTACTTTAAGAGTAAAAAGTCAAAGTATTTTGTGATTTTGAGATCTAATAAAGCTTCATTTGTAGTGACTTTGATAAATATTTGTGGAAGTTTTGTTCAGCAGACACCACTGACTGTTTTTTTTTCCCTAGCAGTTTTTATTTGTATATTTTTGTTTGCTCAAACTACAAACTTGTTAAAAATTAAACTCCTTTTTGAAAAAGTTACTCAAGTAAAAGGAAAAGCATCACATGAAAAAATCTACTTAAAAGTATTAAAGTATCTGTTTTAAAACTATACTTTAAGAGGAAAAAGTCAAAGCATTTTGTGATTTTGAGATCTAATGAAGTTTCAGTTGCAGTGATTTTGATAAAAATTTGTGGACATTTTGTTCAACAGAAATTTTTATTTTTTTTTTTCTCACAGTTTTTATTTGTATCTTTTTGTCTGCTCAAACTACAAACTTGTTAAAAATAAACCCCACAGCCTTTTTAAAAGATCTCAAACAATAACAAAAAGTACTTTTACTTTTCAGTCGTGTTAAAAAATGTAGTGGAGTAGAAAGTACAGATACCTGCTCTCAAATGCAGTGAAGTAAAAGCAAAAAGCACCCACTACTTATCTACTTAAGTAAAGTACAGATACCTTCAATTTTTACTTAAGTACAGTACTTTACTACTTGTACTTTGTTATATTCCAATAGTGATAATACATTTTATTGTGATCTATGCTAAAATAAGACCACATGGACATAAAAAAGAAACTGCTGGCCTATTGTTTTTAGTTGAAAATCCCATTCTTGTGTCTAAATGTTTTTATTATCTGTGTAGTATTGAAATAAAGCCAAATGTTAGTAACTTGACAACAGCACTGCTCCCTAAACTTCACCTAAAGCAACAAGTCAGTGTGAACAGTGGATATTACTTTACCCCTCTGCACTGTTATTGTCCCAGTTTGTTGAATCTGATATCTCCATTCTTTTGTCCCGTCCTGGCCATCACTGTATATCATTTCATTGGTATTCTGCTACACAGGACCCTGCTTCTGTAACTAAGCCCCTTCCCCAAGGACTCATTAAACCCTCTTATCTCACCCCACAGTATCAGACTTGTTCTCTAGAATAGTCCACGAGTTCTATTATAGGACTCGAATGTGATGCTCTGGAATAACTCACCGTTTATCTGTTATGGAGGAAAATGGCGATGAAATATAGGCATTTTTTCACTACCCTTCTCAGGTTCCCTCGGGGGCTGGGGAGGAGATCAGAGACTGCAAAGAACAGGAGTACAAGGACCGTTTTGGGAGCTGTAAACCCTGCAAGCAGTGCGACGCCGGGCATGAGCTTTCAAAGGTGCGTACTTCTTGCATCTTCAAACACTTGCATCAAATAGAAAACGCCCAATAATTGTTGAAATAATGAATCATAAAGTAAAATTGTGAAAATAACTGCACAATGTAAAGCTTCTTTGTCAAAAAACATCTCATAAGTTTTGAATAATAGGTAACACTTGAGTATTAATCAAACACGTATTCATGCTTATTAAGATTTCTTGTATGCACAAAAACATCTATTGTAATTAGGGCTGGGTATCATTAAGAGGTTGCCGATATGATACATACCTCGATACATTGAACTTTTGATTCGATAAGATATATTTCAAATTGATTCAATACGGTTCCATAAAAAATAAAGGCTAAATCATGGCTATGATATTAAAAGTCTTTGTGAAACCACTTCTGCTGCAAAGTTCATATGAAACACAAACATTTTAATCATCAAAACAGTAAAAATGTTGCATAAATGAGTTTCCTTCCTCTAAACAAACAACAAAACTGTAGCTCTGTAACAAAATACTTTAGTAAAATATACCAAAAAATACTCATGGCGATATATCGATACAGCAGCCCATGGTTCCGATACTGTATCATCACATTAAACGATACGATATATCGATATTTCAATATTTTTGCACTCCCCTAATTGTAATCTCCACAATTTTAATGGGAATAAAATAGTTAATGGGGTTAGTACTCGCAAAATACGGCCTTAGACAAAAATGCATTGAAAGAACTTTATAAATACTAACAAATATGTAATTATTATTTATTATGCATTTTACCATTAACTAACTATTAATATGTGGTCCCTAATCTGAAGTGTTACCGATTATTAACATCTAAAGCAGAGCTGTATTCTCAAAATATTGGTACAATGTTAAAAGTGTGCTATGTAACTTTTTAATTGGGGTCCATCTCCTTGTTTTTGTGGATATGTCATTGCTCTGCCTGAAATGTTCCACAGTATGACATTAAACAGCTCTACCTTACATTTATTAAATTACAAGTGGTTTTATAGCTCAAAAATACCTAGAAAAACAGGCATTCTGACTGTGAGCGAGGGTTGCCTCTCCACAGATCTGACCTGTAACTTGTCTGGTTTGGTCTGCATGAAGATAGAAATCTCCACAGCTGAATTATACACTTAACTACCTCTTTATTACCGGTCAAGGTCAAGGTGTTGAGCTCAAAAAGTGACTCATGCATAAATAAATTGTGTTCTGATTGTAAGGGCATTGTAAACATGAAATCCCTGCACATAGTTCTATTCATTCATACATATATACATACATAAACCTTTAAGACCTTTAATCTAGACTTAGTAGGGATGTAACAATAACCAGAATATCGTGATATTGTATCATCAAAAGTCTCTTAATTATATTGTGGGCTGTCACAATATCTCGAATCACAAGTTAATTTGCTTAAATGCATGGTTTTAAAGTAGTAACAGCTAAGAAACATAGGGAACTACATAGACCATGATTCATTTCACTGCAGACAACATGAAGAAATATGTTTTTTTTACTTTAATTCTTGGGATTATGACAGTATTGATTTGCAATGAGTCTTGTTAAGGTATTTTAAAAGCAATAAGTATCCCATCTACAATAGCTTCTCCAAAATATCCCAATAAATATCATATCGTGATAATATCATACTGTGAGCTTTAGATATTGTTACTTCAAGATTTAGACAAACTTTATTGATCCACAAGGAAAATTACATAATGCGTATAAAGGGATTCATGTTGTATTTTGAGGTTCTTGGTAATAACCAGCTCTGATCTAAAATGAGCCAAAACAATATTAAAAAAGCAGGGTACATCTAGTCTAATAGAAAAAGCACGCATTAGCAACAAGGAACAAAACCAAGAGTTACATAAGCTGTCCAGACCACTCTTTGAAAACCATCCATCTCTGTTGCTTGAAAGACTACATTTGTGCAGAATTAAACCACTAAAACAATCCAGAGAGTTACTTTAAAGGCGCACCATGCAACTTTTCTGAAGGAGGGTCTGTTATTTGCTTTGTCTGGAATGTTCCCTGGTAATATATGTGTGAATGTGGGTTGCCTCTCCTCAGATCTGACCTGTAATGTTGCCTGTTGTTGTTGTTGAAATAACTGGGTTTCATCTCTATCGTGGAACGTTCTAGACAAAGTAATAACAAAGCAATTTTACGAATAAGCCAACAGTGCACTTTTCTTATGTCAAAATGCACGCTTTTATACCTATCCCTCTAATGAATAAAGCAAACATTTAGGATCAACAGTGAAAAGAACACTGAGAACTTGGATGAAAGCAGAGCAGAATTGTGTGTATCAGAAGGAAACTCCATTATTTATTGCTTCCTGTCTTTCATGGAAATACCTGCCAAGCGGCCATTAGCTTTTGTAGAGCGCTGCCCGTTCTTTAATGAGTCACAGCCATATACTCCTGTCCCTGTGCAGCTCAATGCCTCTCATTGTTTCTCCTCATGGAACCTGGTCCAGCTTATTGTCTGCAGCTCTCGCCTCTGCTCTAAAGCTCACGGTGACCACAGGTGACTTCAGAAACTTACGGGGTCACCAGGCACATGTTAAAGGTGCACGGTGTACTTTTTGGATTTGGCTCGTCACATTCTTGTTTCTATTGTTGTCATTGCTCAGCCTGGAATGTTCCACAGGATGACCTTAAACAGCTTTACCTTACGTTTATTCATTTACAGGTGGTTTTATAGCTCAAAAATACTTAAAAAAACAAAAAACAAACAGGCATTCTGACTGTGAACGGGGCTGCTTGAAAGTTACACAATGCACCTTTAAGTAATCATAGGGTTTTCTTAAGTAGCAAAACCTTTCCTGAGCCTGACCCCTCTAGATTTTGCAAGATAACAGTGCACACATAAGAAAATGAGCTCAAGAGATTTTTTTTTTTTTTTGCATTTGTTAACACTTGTTTAGATCCTGCTGAGTTACACCTCTTGTGTCTTGTCTCTAGCAGTGCAAAAACATTAAATAATATGAATAAATCATTGTGAGGTCAAAACTGTGAACTGGATTATACCCACCGTTGACTTTTAAATATTTTCTTTATAGTTTTAGCTTTGATAATGTAAATTTAATGTACATAATTAGATTTTAAATGTGTTTTTGTTCTCTGCGCTGAAGTGACTTTACACTGACTCCACTACACTGTTGAAAAAACATTTCTCCCTTGACATGTGTTGCACACATGTATTTATGTCCAGCTTCCTTTAATCTGAGTGTGCACAGACATGCTCTCTGTGGTTGGCTGTATGCTTCAGTAGTCCCAGCGCTCCCCCCGCTCTGGTGCAGCACCCTGGGGTCCTGGTTAATAATTGGCTGCCTCATTCTTTCTGTGAAGGTGGCAGGATGTGGAGCAGGGAAAGTTTTGAGTCACTTCTGAGTCTGTGGAGATTCTTAAAGGACTGGCTCCTGGAGCAAAGCAAAGGTCTGGAGCCCCTCTGTGCAGCTGCCATAGAGATCCTGCAGGAATGTGCCCCAGTTTGCTCTGGAAGTTTGCCTCTGGAGGCTGCTTAGGCCGGCTGACAAACATCAATTAGCCCCTCTTCGCTAACTGTAGCTAAAAGAACCACCCACACTGAAGAGACGGCCATTACAGTCACTTATTCTTCCTCAGTCTCCCATATTTCAATCTTGGCTTTATTGGGTTCATGAATAGCACGTTGCTTAGCCTGTTGTGTTGTGTCAAGCATGAAGGAGAGGGAGTGAACTGCTTTGCCGCGCTGCTGGAAAAGTGCCAGGAGCAAAAGGCAAGAACTCTCCTTTGATGTGTCAATAAGTTGTAATATGTGGCAAGAGTGCAGTGCTCTGTTTCCTTTTCTGCAGTTTGTTTGGATTTTTAACGTGAACATCAGCCGATAACAGGGGCTTTGGGACGTTGACCACCTGCTTTTCAAATGTGTTTGTTCCAAAATCATGTCACTCACATCCCAAATTCAGGAAGGCTTGTGTCATTACAACAGTCATTACTACTAAGAATGTTTATCAGCTTAAACATTCCCATCCTTTATGTGCACGTGGCCTCTACTACACACAAACCATTTTACCTTGCCTAGGTCTGTAAAGAGTTAGGCTTGTGATGAGTGGTTTATGTGGCAAGATCAGAGGGCAGAAGTTGGCCCTGTAGCTCTTTTGTCTGCCCTGGCCCACTTGTGTGTATGTGGCATCAGCCCCTGCCCTGCCATGCGGTGCCCCATGAGCAGAGCTAGGCCTGGTAGGGATTAGCATGGATGACTGGTCCTGGGCCACCTCCTCCATGTGGAAGTGGGTCAAATACTGTACTCAGAACACTGTTGTCACTGCTATGAAAGGGCCTGATTTTAAGATCTAATGTTTCTTCCTTTTGATAGTAGCACGAACAAATCTAGAACGGCCCTATCCCATTTTTTATGAGTTTCTGTGTTTATCACTTTGTATGAACTCTTCTTTCTGTGGACCTCTCCTTCTTCAGCTTCTGCCCCTGTTCACATAAAGTCTTCCTCCTGGCAGAGGGAAAGGCCTTATATGGAGATCTCATAACAACAGCTGCAAAAGTCCAGCTTGCACCTCGTTCCAAGCCTGGCCTGGGAGTTTTTAGTGTTAGGATTATAAGGGTTTCACAACCAAATTCTTCCCTTTCCATCACAACGTTTTGGTACCATCAAACACTCACATCTTAACTTCCCTTTTAATACCTGCCAAAATGATTCCCCTGTGCCAACTCCCGTATCAGAGTCCAGTGCCCACATTCCAGTCTGACTGCATGCCCGGGCAGTGAAAGGGGACACGGGTGAAGAGAGAGCACAGCAAAGGAGCCCCGTTTGAAGCCGACCTTCACTTTAATGATATATGAGCCCCCCCCAAACACTGTTAAGGGCCTGACATTACAGAGGGGGCAACACTGGGCTACACCAGGGCAGCTGTCTCTGAGCTCATAAGATATGATCCATCTATGAAGTCACCTTGGCACACATATAACCCACGCCACATACAGGCCCAGTCTACTGCAGCAGATCTGCCCAGGCACAGTTTTCTGAGGCCAATCGCAAGGAGGCATCTGGATGTAGTTTGGTGAAAGACATTTCATCTCAGATCTGCATTGTGACAGACTGTTAGCTAGAGAGGGAAACATCATCAAGCCTAACACCGTGTCCATATGCCTGAAAAGACCTTTTTACTCTAAACAGCTGCTTTCAAAATGCCATTTTGTCATGATGCCTTCATCTTTATCATTATTAATGACCTGCTTGTTGACATAGAGTCTGTTATATTTACGGCACAAAACCACGCAACTAAAACAACGTTATCATAAGAAAACAATGTGCAATTCATGACTTTCGTGTGTATTGAATTTATTTACTAGAGTATGTAATCGATCAAAGGTTTGTGTTTTCAAATGTCTGGTGCTGAAATCTGCCCATGTGGTGTAGCCTTTAGATCAATCTCAAGGGAGGAGGATGCTTAGCTTTTCAAGAGCTCGTACAATAGTGCAGCAGCAGAAGAGATTTCCCTGTGCTCCATAAGCTCAGCTCCTTCCTCAAGTGTTCCTTTTCCAGCACTAGGCCTCTCAGTCCACAGGACACTTAGGGAGTCTGTTGGAGAGCTGCTCAAACAAAAACTCTGCAATAAACTAGCAATAATACAACAGTGGGTGTCCCCAAAGGGCTTTCTTATTTAAATGACTGGTCTTTCTGGGTCTTGCAGCGGAAGGCCACTTTTTCATACTGAGAGAGTCAGGCAGATTATTGCCTGTGTAAGATGGACTCTCCAAAGAAGCAGCCCATTGTTCTGGGTTGATCCCGTGAGCCAAGATCATTCTTTAATTCCAGACCCCTGGTAGTCCACATTCAAGCCCCCTTTTCACCAGCTGCACATCTCCCCCAAAGCTGCCACCCCACCTCTCACCGGCTCTACTTTCTCCATTAATCCCTCCAGGAATGTGGCTTTGGTTATGGAGAGGATGCCCAGTGCGTGCCCTGCCGGAGCAGTCGATTCAAAGAGGAGCGCAGTCTGCAAAAGTGTAAGGCCTGTCTGGACTGTGGCCTCATCAACCGCCTCCAGAAGAACAACTGCTCCAGCACCAGTAACGCTGTGTGCGGGGACTGCCTGCCCGGGTCAGACACCTGCTCACTACACATGTGTATTCTGTTTACTGAAAAACATGAAATAATGTCGTTTATTTTGTGCTCCTCACAGATACTACAGAAAAACTAAACTCAGTGGTTTCCAGGACATGGAGTGCATCCCCTGTGGCAACCCACCACCTCCATATGAACCTCACTGTAAGCACTTTTTAATGTTATTTCACCATTCTTTTACACCATTATTTGAGGACTTTAAAATGTTTTTAAAATTATACATGATATACTGAACATTAAAAATGTTGCATGTCTAAAACAACATTCACAATATGATTTGTTTGTCAGTGATCTTCCCACCTCTGTGTGCACACATTCAAAAACTTTATGCATGTGAAAAATCGCTACGTGCCAAAGGGATCGTGAGAGCTAAGAACTAGTTTTGATTTGCAGATAACAGTTTTCTTGGTTTAATAATCCAGTACCCCAGAGAAATCTGATCAAATCTTTCATAAACTATTCAGTTAATATACAATACCATTATTATATTGACTAAACGTTAGATGTCTTTATACCTTTACTTTTCATTCTAACTGCACATTAGCTTTGTGCCCAGGGCCAAACCAAAACTCCTACAGTATTGCCACAGTCTTTGCCGAAACATGCCAGCACAAGGCCCTGAGTGTAATCAGAAACACAGCCTGTGGTGGGTGGAGCAGGCTGCTCATTCACCAGCAGCATGTGGTATAAGTGAGAATAAATGGTGGGATTTAATAGTGCAGTAGTTGAAATGGATCGCGCTAACTGTGCAAACATGGGATTAGTGTAGAGCTTTGAAAATATGCTCCCAATAATTGAGTAATACCTGCTTGAACATCAACATCCATTGATATTTTTATTGTCTCTGTTGCTTTAGTTTGATATGCACGGTCCATGTATCCAGGACAGAAATAGCCTTGCCTCAAAAATCCAGACTGATATCTCTGTATTTGTGTCTGGTCCCCACACCCTCCGTGTCTAAAGCCAGAACCAAACATCGTGCTGTCAGATTTGTTTTTTTTTCTGTGATTCATGTCAAACAAAGGAGCTCATCATTTCTTTCACCTCAGATTATTAAAGTTTAGTGCTTTGCTTGTTTATTCTCCAGAAATCCGTGCTGTTCAGTCCCCAGTGATATGTTTTCCATTATTTTTTTTTTCCTCGTAGGAGAGAGATAGACATATTTGTTTTAATATGGATGATCTGTAGTCAGGGAGATTCACTGGTTCACTGAGACTCACATCTTCGTCACGTAATGACAAAGTGTGCATCCTGAATCCAAAGCCAAAAATTATATCCAAAGTGTTTTAAATGTATTATATTTGTGATGGTAATGGCCTCAGGGGTACAGCGTTAAGGCTGAATTATAGTTTTGTGTCGACCCAGTGCACACTGCTGCTGTCGCCTTGTCGCCATCACTTTTGATTTATTGATCTGTGTCAAGGTCTGTGCGCTGCGAAGTAATTCATTACCACAACGCTAGGGGGGAACCAGGTGGAAAGTCCCCAAGCTGGAAAGCTGAATTGTACCCTGTATGAAACTAAGTTAGTTAATCTATATACATATAAAAATAAATAAATAGATAAACATTTTTTGTCATTATATATTGTACACATACAAGTTACAATATATCCCAACACATTTGTTCATACATACATACAAAAAAAAAAAAAACATGCAAAAATTATGGGGTCTCAACTGTGCTGCAACTTTTTCAGGATTTGATCTTACATATTTCAATTATAGACATAGTTAAGACCTTTCTAAAAGTGATTCTGAATGGTTTTTGAACAAATTCTGTAGCTTTCTAAGTTTCTTGTGTTGTGCTGCTTACAAATTATGTTCCTGGCAGGTAAGGAAGTAATTAATATTTCTTTCCAAGTCAAGTTACAGATGCTATGGGGAACAAGTAAAAAAATTTTAAAATACGATTTCATAGTAAAAGTCTATGAGCAAATGAGGATTATATCGATATTACAAACTGAAAAGATATGTGCTGCTTCAGGAAGATCAGTAAAATGACATAATCAAGGCCTGACATTTGGTCTTGCCACTTTCACATTTCTTTTTATTTTGATATAGAAGCTGATTTTCTAACTCAGTACATCACAGTGTGTGACGCAACCGACTAAAGGCACACTGCTGTGCCCGAGTGCCGCGCGGTTGACGTGCATCTCCGAAATTCAACGCTCTTTATATATTTCCAGTAGGCCTCTTTCCCACTTAACGCAAATCCGTAAATCAAAAATGACGGCGACAAAGCAACGGCGGCAGTGTGACTTGAGTCGATGCAGAACTATTACTTCAGCCTTTAGCCCACAAAACCAATGCATAGTGCCGTTGTATCCTTGGGCAAAGCATTTTACTCATCTTACATAGAAATAGTGGTGTGGATATGGCGATAAAAAATGTAATTGTGATCTGAACCTGTGACGATATATGAGGATTTATTGAATTTCTGTTTAATGTTGCTTTTTGTTCAAACACTTTTAACCACTCGTTTCTCCTCTGGGCCAAGCTCTCTCTTCCTCTGAGTGACTGACAGGTGGCTTTATCACAGTGAAGTGAAGTGTGTGAACTCTCAGAAGTAGCAGATGGCTTTCGATACCTTTTGATCGATGAAGGAGCAGTGAAAATTAGCTTTTTTAATGTACTTTGGACTTGGGACAACTTGGTCTGAGGGCACAAAATGACCATTGTTTCTGTAGAACATAGGAGGTAGTATTTTCTCCCAGCTGTCAGTGGAGCATTCCCAAATGTTTAAAGTCGTGTCCCTCTCTGCAGTGTTATCATGAGCTGGTGGTGAAAAGTGAAAGGCTGGGGTATCGTTATGGTCCGCAGTGGCCTGGGGCAGAGCTGCAGCTGTGTTGGGGGAGGCATTGCGGTGGGGAAGGGGGGGTAAATAGTAAATCTTGTGCAGTCTCCTTTCTTCTTCCCCTGCCCTTTCCCCAGTGGCTCTTTGAGTGAAGTAAAATGAGATTGTGTTTTATGGATTCCTCAAGCCTCATGAATGTTTTTGATCTGATGTGTGGCTCTGGAGGGCTGCTCTCATCGGGTCACAGATGCGTCTAAACGTCTTCCACACATATACACGTATGTATAGAGCTACACTGTCCAAAACACTAACACGCATCCATAGTTGTGACATTACAAAGTCTTTTATGTACTCACAAATATGCCCAAAGGCATAATGTCTCTTCTCACCACAAATAAGAACTTGGCTTTGATACTCAGGATTAGGCTTTACACTCAATACCAATTTTGATACGACAATTGTAAGCCATTCTTAAAATAGAATGTAAATTTTCTACACTGAAATAGTAGCTTTTTAATAACACAATGTTGTCTTATATTAGTTCTGAAATAGATAAAGCCATTCTTATTCTTACAGTATTCAAGAAAGGTCCAGTTTATGTGATTTCTTACTTGTTCTTACAGACACTAGTTTTAGAATAGTATGTGAGTAGTAATTTTTTAGACAACCCAGAGTGGCTGTAGTTTGGCCTTACTCTTTGTTAATGTTAATTATTATGAAGTGATGCCAATATTTGCCTGTAGAGCTGTTCAATCAATCACATAATAATAAACTTGAGTCAAATTTTACTCAAATCAAACCTCTTGTTTAAAATCTTCTGTCAGTAAAAGCGTGCGGTTCGGAGCAGAGTTCAGACTTCGATTCTTTTTGTGTGAAATGGTATAGATTAAAAGTCATGTTTATGTTCAGGAAATAAGGAAAACGGTGAAAAAATAATTATTGAATACAGTACAAGGCTATATATTGGCCAGCTGAAATGTTTTTGTAACCACAAATACTTAAAGTGTTTTTATGTAAACAATTACGGAACGTGAAGTCAAATGTAATGCCAGAATTTTTCCACATTATCAAAGCCCAATGTTCATAACAAAGTTTGTACGACATTCACAAAGTGCTGAATAAAGATATAGATGTCTGAACTTGTAATAGATGATAGACAGCTCCAGACGATATTTGCCAAGAATGGGTGCAGCCAGATAGATTGGCTTTCTCAGAGTGCAAGGAAGCCCAAAGCCCTTTTCACTTTACGATCCTTTTAAACCCCTTTTCCAGACCAAAGTTGGATCATTTTAAGAGGTGTAAGAGGTGGAACTTGTATTTGGACTTGTGGCATGCCATAAAATGAGCAGGCGAGAGGCTGTGGTTTATATGGCTGCTGTGGGAGATAGGATCAGCAGGTGAGGGCGCTTCAATGAGCCACTGTTTATGTGTTTGCTGCAGCTGCACAGACACAGAACACACAGAACACACAGAACACACTGTCTTTGTGTGAGGGCCGGGGCAGGTGAGCTACTCAATACAGACGGTTTGACCCGACTCAGACAGCCACATGTACAATGTGAGGATTAAGAGCATAATGTTTACACAAGGAATACACTGCATTATATCTGAAGCACACAAAGATCAGGATCAGGGACATTTCTAATTCAACTTTTGTCACATTGACGTCTTAGTGGAGCGCAGGAAGGATATTGTTAGGGACATGTTTTCATTCATGCATGTGTCTTACAGTGAGCAGCGCCTTTCCACACACCTGACTCTTTAAGTTGGCCTGGTGGAGGGCAGGCCATCTGCTTTTCTCTAAATGTTCTTACCTTGTGTAGAAGATTTCAGAAAATGGCATAAATCGTATCCACCCCCATAGAGAACCTTCTAAAATGTGGCTTTAACTTTTCTTCTGTATGAGGTCTTACACCAGAAACCTTTCACTAGGCTGCTTTAAAGGTGCACTATGTAACTTTTCTGGTAGAAAATCCACCAGCCCGCTGTGGTTGGAAATGACATGTCAAGTTATTTTATTAGCAAGCAAACAGCTATAAAGTCATAAATGGAAGCACTGTACAAGTGCAGTAAAATTCTGTCAATGGCACCCCACTTGACTTTCTTAAAAGTTATTATCACTAACCTTGTCTATGCTAAAATAAAGTTGTCTTTTTCCTCCCAATTGAATTCTAAAGATCTCATATCATAGTGAATTACAAGCGCCCCACACAGGTAATGTTTATATTACATAACAAAGAACACTTAGGTTTGAAAACGCTGGATGCAGTTCTCCTTTTATGATGGATAGCATGAAAAGCAAACACAGGTTACAACATTCTCAGAGGAAATATTTATTAGAGCGAGAGTTAGGCATGTTCAGCTGTAAATTATGTTTGAGAGGTCACTACATTTAGCAGCTTTAAAATACCTGCTTCAACACTAAGTTATGTTTAATGTCAGATGAGTCATGTGTAGAAATATGCTCCACTGATCCTTCACAAAGACACTACTGTCAGAGCTTTCAATGTGATTAACATCTGCAGCCAATCCCCATACGCACCCACTCAGCATATTAAACGCCTATAAAATGTCATTTAAAATGAGATTAATGTAATTTATTCATTATAAATGAGGTCATTATGGTTACTAATGCGTGTAATAGACAAATATTTAATGCTTGGATATCTACAGATTTGGGTGTTGCCAAAAAGGTGAGCTAATTATATTTAAAACAGAACAAATGTATTAAATTTTCAATAAAAATATAAATCTACCTGACCAACGGGACATCCATAATAAAAATATTTGCTTTTATGTTTAAAAAGTTACATGTCGATGCTTTAAATATACAGTAGGTCTCATTCCCATTATGTCGTCACCATTTATATTTGTTTTTAAAATCATAGTCTTGTGCCTTAAGCTGTAATCAACCCAGTTTTTCTGCATTTGTGGGAACTTGTATAATTCTAGTCCCAACATGGCGCAGTGTGTGAAGGGTCTTGAGGGTGTTAGAAAATCTGATGTCATCTTTGCTAAATGAGTTGAATCATGACACTGGCGAGCAGACTTCAGCAATCATCCAAATCCTGCTGCAAAACTACTTCTCTATGGACAAATGTTTCCCTCTGCGCTCTGAAAACAAAAATAACCATAGATCACGTTTGGAAAGACTGAAGCTTGTGGGATAATGAGCAGCGGTACACACTAAAATATGTACACAAGTAAAAGTCCAGTTGTATGGCTAAAGATTTACTCAATTACAAGTACAAGGACCGCTTCCAAATTGGTACTTTAAAGATGCATTCTGTAACTTTTGTAATACTTTTCTCCGTGGAGATGTTATTGCTTTGTCTGTAATGTTTCACAGTATGGCATTAAACCTTTCTATCTTCATGGAGACCAAACCAGTCCAAGTTACAGGTCAGATCTGTGGAGAGGCGACCCCGCTCACAGTCAGAAAGCCTGTTTTTCTTGGTATTTTTAAGCAATAAACCCACCTGTAATTGAATAATTATAAAAATAATAGTGTGTAATTAGAAACACTGAGCTTTAATCAGGGCAGTCTTGCGTGATGTCACCAGCTACTTAAAACTTACTACAGCTACTTAGTTCCACTTTAAGGCTTTGGGTTAAAGTTAGTGCATTAAAATTCTACTCAAGGTTACTTTTTCATGTACTTCAACATTTTCAATCGCATTTTTATATAAATCCGGATCAGATTTTGTTGCATTTGTCTTGCGCTGTGGCCAATCAGAGCAGAAAATGCAGCAATTGTTTTGTGTGTTTGCCGTTATTATAAAAAGGATTGGTTTTGAACTTATTAAAGTACAATTATATGGCTATAATTATGCTCAATTACAAGTACAAGTTTAGAAATCGATTCCAAATTCTCTAAAGTAGGACTACAAGATTAATCACAATCAAAACGAAATTGCAGTTTAAATGGGTGTGTTCTGTTTCATATGTCAGTCTTTTGGTCAATTCTCCTGGATGTATTTAAAATATGAACTTTGAACAGAATATTATTGAATATCACTCACATCTACAAAGCCGGACTATCTCGTTGGTGTGTGAATCTTGAGCAGAACTCGAGTATCATGCAGAAAGCCAGAGGCAGGGGCAGAGAGCGACTGTAAATCAATCACAAACATGTTGGACAGGAGCACACATCACAAGTGTCTTCCTTTTGAACTTTTCATTAGAAAAATGAGCTCCGGCCAATAGGTCAAGTCTGTGTCAGGTTACTGCTCTCTGATTGGCTGACAGAGTTTGAATCATATAAATCTGAATCATATGCACTGTGATTTATAGGTATAAAAATTCATGTAGTATCCTGTTATTATAGGTTATGTGTTTGAAGTTTTTGTACCTCACTGTCTTTCATGATACCGGCAGATTCATAGGTTTTCCAATGGTTAAGGCTGGGCAGTTAATCAGATTAATTCAGTTAATTCATGTTTTTCATTGTCAAGGTTTAGAAATTGCAAAATTGAACACTGAGGATTATTATGAAACAAGTTTACTTGACTTTCTTACTTGCAAAGCAGATTATTGTGCAATGAAACAATTGTGACTGTAAAAAAATTCATTCTAATTTTCTAAAGTTTTACAGTTAGATTACATTTCTATACAAATGTGATTGCAGGCAGTTTATAATTGCCTTGCTCTGACTTTGATTGAAATCATAATCATCCAGTGTGTGCAAAAAATCTAGATTTTATTTTGTGGTGAGGCCTATGGTCACATTTTTGGAAGTGAGAATGGAGAGGGGCAATACTGGTGCAGTGTTTTATAGATGGGGTATTACACTTCTATGTGGTATTAATTGTTAATGCATAACATATTTAGATATTTACATGTGATCTTTTATCGTTTTGAAAATGCTGAAAACAACATGTTATCATATCTAAGTTTCCCATCCCTTGAGTCACGTCACCATGAATGCTTCTTTCTAAGTAAATAGAAGTTTAATACCATAGTGTGGAATATTCTAGGCAAAGCAATCTCAGCGAGTGTCAGAAAAGGTTACCCCACAGTGCATGTAGACTGCAGTTTTTCTCCTCTAAACTGCAGTCTCACGCATGTGCTTGGTGTTGCTTGTGTTGCAGGCAGTGGCCGTGTGAACCTGGTGCCCCTGCCTCCGCCTGGGACCAGCCCGAGGGACATGGCCCTGGCAGCGGTCATCTGCAGCGCTCTGGCCACGGTCCTGCTGGCTCTGCTCGTGCTCTGTGCCATCTACTGCAAGAGACAGCTGCTGGAGAAGAAGCCCAGTGGTGAGACAGGCAAAAACACACAAGGAGTCTGTCTGTCTGTCTGTCTATCCATTTATCTGTCTATCTGTCTGTCCATCTGTTTGTCCATCTGTCTTTCTAACTGTCTATCTATGTGTTTATCTATCTCTGTGTCTGTCTGTCTGTCTATCTGTCTCTCAAGATGTCTATAGTTGGTTGGCCTGTCACAATAACACATTTTATGCTTTCATTCTACTGATACAAAAAACTTAAAGCATAAAAATCACAGTTATCTCCTTTCTAAATGAACACTATTATTAAAATATACCCTGCGATTAATACATATCAGAGAAACACTTAAAGGGCATGTACCTGTACAATAACGCTTTTTATTGTCCGATGATCAGAAAGTATCTGTTTGCATGCTAATGACGGCAAAACTGTGCTGTGAAAATTGTCAGAAATGCTTAAAAACTCATCATGGTAAATAATTACGATACTCTGAATGCATGCAAGGTAAGTGAGAATAACTTTGGACCACTGCAAACTGTTTAAAATGGCGTAGTTCTGTTTTTCCAATAGACCATATATATTCATAAATGATTTTTTATACAGTCTACGGTTTTTCCACACACAGATCAGGTACAGAGCCTTTAAGTAATGATTTAGTCTCAACAACAAATCTAATTGTACCACAAAAAACATTATTAAGAAAAAGTTCACATGATAAATACGGAAGCCCAAAAAATATTGTTCCATTTATTATTTATAGAGTGATGAGTCAGTATAGTAATTATCGTGACAAGTTTATATTTGATCTTAATCAGAAGAACAGACAATAACAGGATTACAGGTTTAGAAAGGTTACATATTGCAACTGAAAATATTTCTAAATGTTTAAATATTTAAAGGGTTATATATATTTATATTTAGGTTGAGGGAAAAAAAGATGTATGGATGGCTATAACTTAATTTTCTAACTCTGAGGTTCATCTGTCTTTGCTTTTTGTTTGTTTTCATGTGCACGACTGGCGGATAGATTGTGGTTGTGCTTTCATAATGTACAAAAATGAAATAAAAAAAATATTTAAAGAGCCCATATTACACTATTTTCTGATCTATATTATGTTGTTTCCTCATCACAAACATCCCTGGAGTTCCTGTGCTAATACAAGAAGTGTTCAACTGTGTTTTTAAACTCCATACATCTTCTTTAGAATCATTTGGACAATTTTAGCTCTGGAAATGCCGATCTCTGCTGAACAAAAGATAAAATGTAGCCGTTAACTTGAAAACTACCACTTCATGAAATCACAACAGAGCATTTTGAGCTTTGGAGATGTAGACAGACTAATAATAAATACTCAAACGTGTGTGAATTAAACAAAACACAACTCCAGGTCTGTTTTTGAGGAGGTAACAGCTTTATAACACAGCTCAAAGCTCATGATATAGGACCGTTTTATATCAGTGATGCAAGAATTTTAATTGCTTCATCGGTGACAAATACAAACCACAAACTAGAATCTACTTCACGATGAAAATATGAATAATTTGTTGATCCTAAAATATCTGGCGCACTTGTTGTGACAGGCCAACTTGTATATTTAGTCGTTAATCGTTAATCTGTGGGCGGTTATTTATCACATTGTGGGGAGTGAAATCAAGTCTCCATGACGTAAATACTAATATTAGATCAACAACAAGATTTTGAGCTCAGATATGGGTTCAAATCGTTTACAGAGTTTAGGTTAAGGTCAGACAATTAGTGTTTATGAATTATTATTATGTATTGTGCTGAAATTAACTAAAATTTTGTGAATTAAATGCCCATTATTACTGTGTATGTGTCATTTTGATGCCTAACTCTTTGTTCTTAAGTAGCTCTCTGTCAGTTTTGTTTTGTAAAAGTAGCTCACTGAAGGAAAAATGTTGGAGACCCATGCTCTAAACCCAATGTGTGTGTTGTGTGTGTGTGCAGCGGCCTCCCTGCGCTCCCAGGACTGTCCATACACCGGAGCAGAGCTGTCCTGTCTGGATCCTCGCTGGCTCCACGATTTCCACCACAGACCCTGCTGCCAATGCCACCTGGGCCCCGAACACACCTGTGGTACGTTCAACAGAGGAGTTTGTTCAGCTGTAAAGAAATGAAAACTGTAGAAAGTGTCTGTAGTGTTTAGAAGAGCTGGTCTCCTTGTTGTTTTCTGTCCTCACTCGTGTTTGTGTGTGTTTGTGTGTGTTTTTGTGTGTGTTTGTGTGTGTGTGTGTGTGTGTTCCAGGCCCTGTGCACTTGATCCCATCTCTGTGCTGTGAGGAGAGCTGCAGTCTGGGCCACAGCCAAAACAGCCCCCTCCATTCACGCAGGAGCATTAGTATGGAGTGAGTGTCTCTGCCTGTCACATACATCAGACATACAGTACACAGTATACAGTATATAGTACACAGTATACAGTATGAGATGGACATACACATACTGTATACTGTAGGGTTGGGCAGTATCCAAATTTAAACCTTCTCAGGATTTTACCAGGGTATACGGTATTAATGTATTACCAAAATGTTTTAGTACGACTTTGGTAAACTACAAAGCCGCAACGCTGTATGGTCCATGCGTATGAACTGCAGACTTGTTTCACATGAACCATCTCCAACACGATACATGCACAGAACAGACTCACCATCAGCAGCACATCCTCTGTCACAGAAAGAACACTCATATTCCACTTAGTCGTGTCCTTTAGTCCAACAGAAGCTGAACCGCATCAGCGCACAAGGAAAGAGCTGTTTTTATCAGCCCTTTATAATTTATGCAAATGAGCCATGTGGTTTCAAGTTTTGTTTCTGTAAAACATAAACAAATGTGCGCCTGAATCCAAAATGATGCCAAATTGCAGAAGAACTAGTATTTTTTTTGGGACCAACTCACTTGCGGCCAGACTTGCCATTTTTTCTTGGTCTCCCTTGTGAGCGTCATGTGACAACGGAACGAAACTAATCAAATGTCATCTCCTCACGCAGTTAAAAGAAACATTATAGATTCTATTAGTTTTAAATTGTGATGGCATTAAATTGAAAATACACACACACGTTCATTTGTGCTGAGCAAACAAATTTAGGTATCAATAAATTATAATATTATATTAGGTCCTTATGCGTTGCAGATTTTTTAAATGGCGGTAATGAAACTGAGACCGCTGCTACTTTTTGACACCGCAGGATACCGTAATACCATATTACCGCCCAACCCTAGTCTACAGTATGTGTATGTGATGGACATACACAACCAGTCCATTTAAAAAGTTTGTACCAGCTGTTTCATGATGACTCTTGTCAACAGTACAGTATGTATTTATTATGGATGTAACAATAACCGATTGTGATATTGTATCATAAAAGTCTCACAATAATATCATGGGCTGTCAAAATATATCAAATTACAATACATATATAACTACATATCCCATGATGCATTTCAGCGCAGATAACATGAAGAAATATGTTTTTTATTCTTGGGATTATGATAGTAATAATTCACACTAAAATCTTGTTAAGGTATTTTAAAAGCAAAAAAGTATCATATCTACAATTATATTAGCCACTTCAAAATATTGCAATAAATATCGTACTGTGAGATCAAATGGTCCAAGTTAAACAAAAAGTAGAGAGAACTTGAAGAGAAGCTGAAGAGAACAGGATCTCATGTCATTGCATAGTACAGGCAGATTTGGGATTTCACTGGCCTTGGCACCATACTCAGGCCTAGTTCACACTACTTATTATTCAGAAATCAACACGATTTAAAGTTAGCAAATTAAAGTATCTCGTGAATAACTTTATTAGAAGGACTTCGGTTTGCTCGGTTTGCGTGCATCTGCAGTAAACATAGACACGGCTCCACATAAAGGAGGAATGTGGTGCATATAGAGTGAGGAAAAACAAGACAATTAAAAAGTGTTTCACACCCTTTAAGTGGAAATTGCTTCACCTCCAATAAAGTCCTGAATCATATTCACTGAATCACGGCACGATGCCCCCGGGGAGCACTCTGACTCCGGGTCTAAGCGCACAATCAGTTACATGTGCTTAATTACTGTCTTTGAAGTGCACAAACTGAGAATCACTCATCAATACAAAATACTGTACATAGAAGCTGTGTCTGAAGTAATGATTTATTATCATCATTATCACCAGTGCTAACAGTCACCTATGTCCTTAGACACACAGAGGAAGAGGAGGAGGAGGAAGAGCCTATGCAGCTGGAGACCACAGAGGGGTCAGAGGTCACGGCACAGAGACAGAAGGACCAGATGGATGGACCAGAGTACAGTGTGAGACATGAAGCTGGGACAAGTGCACTGCAAGAAGGTAAGAGGAGCTCAGGGCTGCAGAGAATGCTCATGTTTTTAAGAGCAGGCTCAAGACCCACCTTTTTTCTTAGTTTTTGCTTGAAATCTTATACTTTTACTTGTTTCTATTGTACACGTTATTATATTAATTTATTTTAGGTATATTTTTAGGCTGTCCAGTGGTTCCTTTGTAGGAGCCTCTGCATCAGGAGCAGAGGTCGACTGTGGCTGTCGGATTCTGTCCAGTGGGCTCCTGGTGGAGGGTTGGTGCTTGGGCCTCGTCTCTCCCCTGGACCCTGTGGCAGTTCTTGGTGGCGGTGGACGTCTCTCTGCTCCTGATGTAGTCGGCTCCTCTGATGATGCTTTCTCAACTAATCCGCCTGTATTCAGCCTCACGTTTTACTATGTGTAGTTTTATGTATTTTAGCATGTTAGTGTGCGTGTGAATCCGTGTATCATTCGTTCATTCATTTTTCAATATCCATCCATCCATCCATCCATGTTTTTTAAATAAATGAATTGTAAATAAATAATGGAAACACAGATAACGGCTGTTTCCCGTTTTTGTAACATAAACTATGATTTTGCGCCACATACGGACTGAACCAGAATTGAAACAGGTTCGGGACCGGGACTCAGACCGGGACCAGACCGGGACCAGACCGTGACATAGACCGTGACATAGACCGGGACCAGACCAGGACTGAGACTGGGACTGAGATGGGGACCAGACCGCAACTGAGACCGGGACCAGACCGGGACCAGACCGTGACAGAGACCGGGACCAGACCAGGACTGAGACTGGGACTGAGATGGGGACCAGACCGTGATTGAGGCCGGGACTGAAAATGGTTTAGTCCTGGTTCAGACCATTTGCGGCACAAAAGTTTGGCATCACAGTTTAAGTCACGTAAACAGAAAATGGCCATTATCGTTTTTTTCCATTATTCATTTAAACACAAAATCAAAAACTGAAAAAATGAATCATTATCAGTTTTTTCATGACACAAACATGAGACAAATAATGAAGAAAACTGTTTTTTTTTTTTTTTTTTTTTCTTATTTTTGGTTTTATTTTGAAAAACAAATGAAAGAATGATACACAGATTCATGTGAGTGTGTCTGGCTTGTTTGGTTGTGTGAGGTCGGGCAGCTGTAGGGGTTGGGTAGGCAGGTAGGCGGAAGGAAATGTGGGATTGTTTTTAATCACTGTAAAGTAGTTTGTGTAAAAAGCGCTTTAAAAAGTTTGATTGATTGATGAGTGAAGCGCACTGTACATCAATTCTATCAACTATGTGTCACCTCCACCTCCACACCTCCATATAAAACAAAATGAGATAAAATAGATGAAGGCCTTAACACTAACCCCTAATCCAGTAGTGAGGCCCTCTTCAGCGAGCTCTCTATCTCATGTGTGAACCCTCCACTCTGTTCCAGGATGACAGGGACGTCTGGCTGCTCCTGTTTGAAGCCGAGGCCAGAGCTGTGTCAGATTCCTCCTGTTCCCCTCCCTCCCCCTCACTCCAGTGTACAAGTCTGCAGCTGACCTCACAGGCCCTCACGAGCCCTCAGAGCCCCTCACACACACAGCACGCACGAGGTCAAACACGAGGCCAAAACACGACGCCAGACGACGAACGACGACGGGGGGATGAATGAAGTCTGACAGCAGAGACTTTCTATGGACCTCTTTGCCTGAGAATGTTTTTTTAGCATCTTCATTTGTAGAAGAAAACCAGTGACTGCGGCGCTGGTGATGAAGCTTTGTGTGTCCATGTAAACAGGTGTGAAGAAAGAGCGTACTATGTTGCACATTGAAGACAATCGTGACACTAAAGACGTGGAATGTTCACTCTAAATAAAATATGCTGTAGATATTGTAAGATAGTATAGGCTATTCTAATATTTTTGTAACATAGACCTCACGTACAGTGTTATCTTTACTTCTTTAGAGATAGGATCCATGGCTGTGAAGAGTTGCTCACGTTTATTCATGCTACAGATTTGTAAATAAACATACAAATTGACTTTTTACATTCAGTTGCTGTTTTTTTTTTTTTTGTTCAGTGTTTTTATAAATCCCAAAGCATTTGAATCCGTGTATCATTCGTTCATTCGTTTTTCAATATAAAACCAAAAAAATTTTCTTCATTATTTGTCTTCAAAACCAAAATGAAAAAACGGATTTAGTTTTTGATTTTGTGTTTAAATGAAGAATGGAAGAAACAGATAATGTCCGTTTCCAGTTTGCGTGACTTCTGTGACTGTGATGGCGGACTTTTGCGCCGCATACGGACTGAACCAGGACTGATCCAGGTCCGGGACCAGACTGGAACCAGACCGGGACTGAGATCAGGACTTAGACCAGGACCAGACCAGGACCAGACCGGGACAAGACCAGGACTGAGACCGGGACCAGATCAGCACTGAGACCGGGGTCAGACTGGGATCGCGACAGGGACTGAGACCGGGACCAGACTGGGACTGAGACCGGGACTGAGGCCGAGACCAAGACCAGGACCACACCATAATTGAGACAGGGACTGAGACCAGGACCAGACCGGGACCAGACCAGGACTGAGACCTGGGTCAGACCGCGATCGAGAAAGGGACTGAGGCCAGGACCACACCATGATTGAGACAGGGACTGAGACCGAGACCAGGCAGGGATCGAGGCCGGGACCGACCGAGGCCGGGACCGAGGCCGGGACCACACCATGATTGAAACCGGGACTGAGACCAGGACTGAAAACGCTTTCGTCCTGTTTTAGTCCTGTTTTAGTCCTGATTTAGCGGCGCAAAAGTCACAGAAGTCACATAAAAGAAAAATGGCTGTTTTTCTGTTTTTCCATTATTCATTTAAATACAAAATTGAAAACTGAAAAAAATGAATCGTTATCCTTTTTTTCAATTTGGTTTTGGAGACAAATAATGAAGAAAATAATTGTTTTTTAATTTTCTTATTTTTGGTTTTATATTGAAAATCGAATGAATGAATGATATACGGATTCATTTGCTACACATTTTCAGTATCTGACTCATACTTATGCACTTTCTACTTCGCTCTTCTCAAACTGCAGTATAAAACTTGTAAATTAATTTAAGCCTAATGGAGTAATTATTTTCACCATAACATTTAGTGACGACAATAAAAGAGAAGAGATGCCTGAGGTACCAGTGGAAAAGGTCGTTATTAGAAGTGCAGTTGTGGTTTGAGACGCCTAATTATTTCGCGGATAGCGTGTGTGCTCCTGGAGAAGCAGCCAGCGTAGAAATCCACAGATCCACCACAAACAACAGCCCTGAAGCAATCTAAAGAAACACTATGTAACTTTTTGGTTGTTTCTACAGTCACTGCTTTGCTTGGAATGATCCACTGTATGATATTAAACAGCTCTACCTTACATTTGTTCAATTACAGGTGGTTTTATAGCTCAAAAATCGCAAAAAAACAACAACATTCTGACTGAGTGGGGTTGCCTCTCCACAGATCTGACTTGTAACTTGGTCTGGTTTGGTCTCCATGGAGATAGAAAGGCTGACTTTGAAACATCCCAGACAAAGCAACAACATCTCTATCTGATCACTCATGCAAGTTTTGACATTTATTTATGCCAAAAATGCAAAATAACGTGGCAAAAATAAATAAATGTTAAAAATAGAAAGTTATTTTAAAATTCTTTGTACTTCTAAATAGGACAGAAACTAAATCAATTGATTATTATTGACTGAAAGTTGATCAGATTCCTTCTGTGTATGTAAACACTAAAAAACAGATTATTATAGTTATCCAATGTATTTAAAAGGGCGTAACTTTTTATTTTTAAACTCTTTATGTCATTTTTTGCCTAGAATGTTCCACAGTATGACATTAAACAACTCTACCTTACATTTATTAAAGTACAGATGGTTTTATAGCTCAAAAATACCTAGAAAAACAGGCTCTCTGACTGTGAGTGAAGCGGCCTCTCCACAGATCTGACCTGTAACTTGGTCTGGTTTGGTCTCCATGGAGATAGAAAGGTTTAATACGGTGAAATATTCCAGAAAAATCTCCATGGAGAAAAGCATTTGACAGACCCTCCACCAGAAAAGTTACACAATGCACCTTCAAAAGACACTGGTTATGTTTACATGCACACAAAATCTGATCATTATCTCATTTCTGGAGTTATCAGATTACTGGAATGTCTAGTAAACAGTTGCATCTGATCAGTTGTGCAAGTTTTGACATTTACTTACACAAGAAAGGCAAAATAATGCGGCAAAAATAAATAAATAAATGTTAAATAAAAAAATTCTTTGTTCCTCTAAATAGGACAGATACTAAATCAATTGATTATCTAAAAGGTGATCAGATTTCTACCTGACCTAAAAATCAGTTTATTGTAGTTGTCTGATCATACATTTTTACGGTGAGCAGATTCACCTTGCCACAGATCTAACCTGTAACTTGAAGATATACTGTATTTTCCGTACTATAGGCGCTCTGGATTATAAGGCGCACTGTCACTGAATTGGCTATTTTCAAACTTTTTTCACATATAAACTGCACCGGACTATAAGGCGCATTAAACGAAACACAACAGTTAGATAAGTCGGTCAAACTTTGTTTAACGTGTTCACAATAACTCTCAACTTTGTTCAATTGTAACATGTAAAAAACCACTAAATTGTTAGAATATTCACAATAACTCATAATTGTTCAAACTGTTGGGCGATTACGGCATCCAGCACGCCCACATCCCTCTCTTCATTATCCGAGTCAGTGTCGTTACTGTTCCCTGGCAGTTCAGTGATGATTCTGGTCTTGGTGAAAGCTCGGACCACAGTTGACACTGATCCAGCCCAGGTGTCCATGATCCATTTGGAGATTGTAGCATAAGTTGCTCTGCACTGTCTCCGTCTTGGTGAATGTCTTCGCCTTCTTTAATCCACTGCTCCCATACAGCTCACAGTTTAACTTTATAAAAGCCTTGAGTTTGAAGTCGGCGTTGTAAGCGTGTCTCTTGACAGGTGGTATTTTGATATTAAATGGAATCACAGTATGTATTACTCCGCGATGCTCCTGACTACAGTAGCCGTAATGCTGCAAGTGGAACGGCTTTGTAGTTTACTAAAGTCGTACTAAGACACCCAAATAAATTCATATATAAGGCGCTCTGGATTATAAAGCACACAGTTGTTTTTAATGAAATTAAAGGCTTTCAAGTGTGCCTTGTAGTGCGGAAAATACTGTAAGTTTAATGACGTATTGTAGAACGTTCCAGATAAGTGGTGACAAACCCAATAACAGAAATTTTACATCTTTACACTTTTAAAAAACAGACTAAATGCCCCATCTTCACAGTGAAAACATATTTATTCTTAAACATACTCTTACATAAAGTTGGACAAAGTGTGATGGCTTTCAAAATGGCGTTACGATAATCACATAGAAATGCACCGGTCTCCCTGTGTAAGCTCCAGACAGACAAAACATGAGGGGCGCTTTAATCTAGAACCATAACACTGGTCACATGACAGGAAGAACAGATTAGCCATTCTTTCACACGCTGATTTGACCAGGAAAAAACAATACTGCGGCACTCACTGAGCTGAAAGCTGTTATTAAAGATCAGTCCACATCATAACGGGCCAATTACAGTTTCATGGAAGATTACAGGGCCATATATTTGATTGAGGGGAGTGAGCGCCATCTGACAAATACAAATAAAAATGGGAAATTGGCCTGTTATTGAGTCACTGTAAAAATACTGGCAGCAGTTTAAAGGACCTACTGTAAGAAGGAGAGTTTTATGAGCCACGCTATAATAGGTTTGACTAATCATACTTAATGAGCTAATTAATGCATGTACAGCTTTCAACTTAAGGCTTAATGGTCCTATATTACACCAAATTGACTGTTGTGAGTTTTAAGCCATGTTATAATGCTGTTAACGCCTCAAAAACATAACTAAAGTTGTGTTTTGTTTCATTTACACATGTCTGAGTAACTCTTAATTATCAGATCTGGGCATTGTACAGCTCCCACAGGGTTTTCAGTTTGAGAGAAAAAAAAGAGTTTGTGTTAAACATGTGTGAATGTTTGAGATGAAGAAACAGCATTTTAACATAGATCAGAAAACAGCGTGATATAGATCTTTTAAGCGCTAAAAATGTTTTTGCATTTCCCATTTCCTCTGCCTTCATGAAGCAGCAGCAGAGAATCAGTTCTGTAGTTTTATATAAATTATAGTTTGACACTAATTAAGAAGAAAAAACAGCACAATAGGGAGAATTTGATCCAATTTACATACAAAAAAACCACAAAATTTTCTGATACTTTAAAAATGATTTCAACAAAATAAAGGTGTTGATTTTTTGTTGTCAAATAATAAGTCGTATGTGTAAGTTTTGGGGTAAAGGAATTCCCCAGTGTTATGTCACGATTTCCAGGAAGGAAGTAAAATTTGAGAGCTAAAAAATGACCAAACTGTGGTATTTTTGTGGGGATAAAATCTTAAATGTCAAAGAGAGTGAACACTGGGCGGACTTGAGTAGCACATCGAACTGGAGTAGCTTATTGATACTTTTCCAGCAGTAATTGTCAAGCCAAGTTATTTTTATTGAGGTCAGTGTGTACAGCTTAAACATTTTATATTGTTTCTTCTGGCAGAGTCCATTTTTTCAGAGATTAAAACCATCAGAAGTCGGTGGAGTCATAAATGTTCTGACAGTAACCTGAGGAGCAGCCTGAGGAGCAGTCCGGGTCTTCAGCCTTCAGAGTCCATGATGAAAGTCTCAAAGTTGGGCTTGAGTTCTGACACCAGAGCGTCCACAAAGTCCTCCAGGGTGGGGCGTCTCTGCAGCATCCCTGTCACACACAAAATGTCCGCTTAAAAACAGATCAAATATACAGGGAACATAAGACTGAGATGGAAACTGAACTCTACTTGTGTGCCAGCTTCAGAGGTGACTCACAAATGTTAAAGCTTTAGGGCTAAGGTATAATTCATTCTTTTGTGGGGATTCTGATATAGTTGTGCCATATCCAACTTTACATGTTATACTCATTACCATTTTGAAAAAAATTTTAATATTTTACTCGGTACAAATGTCAGTATTGAGCGTTACAATGCTTTTTTTAACCTGGATTAAAGTGGTGGGTTTTTCGCTTTTCTTCATACAATTTCGCTAAAATCATCGTCATCATCATCATTCATCATCATCATATTAGTTGTGGTGAAATGCCAAAGTTATGGTTCTGAGTGTCAGGATGGGCCTGGAGGTGTGACCGCGTAGACCGCAACGGACAAAAGGACCGACACAGAACTCCACACTCCACAGGGCTAATCGTAGACGACACCCAATCGCACTTTGCGGACACCCTGCTCCGAGGGCTCGGGGTTCTCTCAAGGGTAGTTCTAGGTTCCAAGTCCTAGTCCAAGTTTAGTCCTGGTTTAGACCTGGTTTAGTTCTGGTTCAGTCCTCAGTTCAGTCCTGGTTTAGTCCTGTTTCAAGTCCATATACAGCGCAAAAGTTAAGCATCTTCGCTCACTGACTGTTATTTCACAATCAGCAACAGTTATTTTGGTGAGAGTAACTTAAAGGGCTCATCTCATGCGAAATAACTCTTTTTACATTGTATCTTATGCACATATACAAGCACAGTTTGGGTTTTGGAACATCCATTACACAATAATAATGAAATCTTACTGATTTCTTGGAAGCAGTCACAGACCAGGAACTATGAAAGACCGACTACTGCTCATCCCCCCGCCCGTCCTGAGAAAGCACAGGCTCCACCCTCCAAACGTGACGTAGGCTCTGAGTGAGCCGCCCTTCCTCCGCCATCTCAGGGAGGGAGGGGGAGACAGACGTGTGCCCTGATAGTGGTAGGAATAAAATGTATTCATCATGGTGGACCCGGAATGGGACAAGGACTTGGAGGTGCACGAAGCGCAAGCACCGCGTCGGCATCAGCTGAACATTACTGATAAACGCTAGTAGATAAACTTATAATATCATGTACAATGGAGGAGGCAGGGCGGAGGGGGTGGAGCGAGGGAGGGGGGCAGATGTGAAGAACTTTCTGCTACTTCAGACGTGTCATAGGTGTAGCTGGCCGCGTCATCGTTGTAGCAGCTTTAGTTCGTTGTCACGTGGGAGGGTGGCAGAAATACAGTGCAATTTGTTAAAAAACAAAACAAAACGCCAAATCAATCTAAAAAACACTTCGGCGACATATATAAGGCCCACATCACTCTTAGAAGGTAGAAAGCTCTGAAAAGTTGATTTTGCATGAGACAGGCCCTTTAAAGTAATGCAATAGTCATGTAATGCCCTACATTTTAAATACAGTAATATTGTAATGTAACAAATTACTTTGAAATGACAGTAAAAAGTAATAAATAACACATTACAGTTTTGAAGTAACTTGCCCAACAGTGCAGTAGTGCAGAACATTTCTCCATAATTACTCACTCATTTCACAATTTTATTATTACCAACCAACCCAAACCAGGGATTTCCCAGTTTTTTTATTGTGAAATTCTGGTCACCCTATGGCAGCCCCACCAAAACACATGAGAAAGGTGAACAGATTGAGAGCATTTCCAGCTCTATAAAACATATTGTGAGCCCTGGGAACTGTTTGCTCAAGCCTGTTAGCCTGTTAGCCTGTTAGTCTGCTCATGCGTGGACCGGTCCCTTGCTCTTTTTACAATGGAGCTGCGCTGCTGCTTTGAAGTCCCTCATTTCCCCTTGTGTGGCTGCCAATGTAAACAGCCGCTCCCCTCCTCATTCTTGTAGCGAGCGGGTCACCTCCAAACACGCACACGCTAATCCACGACTCCACAGATCTACAAATGATGCGCAAACTGGTACAAAACGACAATGATTTAAACACTGGGATCTTATTGAGAGGGCATGCGGTTCAATAACCGATTACATTTGAAGTCCAAAATCTGGGGGATTATGGTTTCTTCTTACACTACAGACGCGCCCTGGCTCTCGGCTACAAGCTGATACCCACATACAGGGGTCCCACTAACCGCACAGCCCCTGGATCCTGGGAACATGGAGCCACATGAAAGACGTGGGGCTGGAGGAGATACGAGAGTCACCAGAATACTCAGATTTATAGACTCAAGAGCAGGACTGGGATTTAATATCAAGGAAAGCCCATCAATCAAACTAGTTCTGAGGCATCTTTTTGTGTGTCTGACCTGTCATAGCATCGGTAATTATCACGATGAGTTTGGTTATGATCAGTAGTGGAAGAAGTACTCAATTTTGTTACTTAAGTAAAAGTACAGAGACTGCAAAAAATACTCAATTTAAACAACAAATTAAAAGTAAAAGATTACAGTATTACAGTATTGCTTAAAAATGTATGTAAATAGTAAAAAGTAAAAGTATTTAGTGCAGATTTCGTGCTCTAATAAAGCTTCAAATGTAGTGATTTTGATACAGGTTTGTGCTGAATTTTGTTCAACAGATCAATCAATGGAATTGATCAATTCTTCCCTAAATGTTTTTTTTTTTTTGTATATTTGTGTTTGCTTAAACCAAGAACGTGTTAAAAATAAACCCTAAGCCTTTTCACCAGGTCTCAGACTATAATAAAAATAGTAGCAGTAGCAGCAGCAGTAGAAGTAGCAGTAATAGGTAGAAGTAGATAGGAGGTTGAAGTAAGTTGTTAGAAGTAGGTCGGACTTGTAGTAGTAGTAACAGCAGCAGTAGCAGTAGTAGTAGTAGTAGTTGTTGTAGTGGTAGTAGTAGTGGTAGTGGTAGTAGTAGTAAGTAGGTAGAAGTAGATAGTAGGTCAAAGTAAGTAGTTACAAGTAGACTGGACAAGTAGTAGTAGTAGTAGTAGTAGTAGTAGTAGTAGTCGTAGTAGTAACAGCAGCAGTAGTAGTAGTAGTAGTAACAGCAGCAGTAGTAGCAGTAGTAGCAGAAATAGCAGTAGTAGTAGTTAGAAGAAGTAGTAGTATCCGGTAGCATGTAGGTCATAAATAGTAATAAGTAGGTTGAGGTAGTAGAAGTAGTAACAGCAGCAGTAGCAGTAGTAGTGGTGGTAGTAGTAGTGGTAGTAGTAGTTAGTAGGAAGAAGTAGATAGTAGGTCGAAATAAGTAGTTAGAAGTAGGTCAAGCTAGTAGTAGCAGTAGCAGTAGTAGTAGCAGCAGTAGCAGCAGCAGCAGCAGCAGCAGCAGCAGCAGAAATACCAGTAGTAGTAGGTAGAGGAAGTAGTATTACCCAGTATCAGGTAGGTGATAAGTAGTAGTAAGTAGGTTGTACTAGTAGCAGCAGCAGTAGTAGAATTGTAGTAGTTCCAATAGCAGTAGCAGTAGTAAAAACAGTATTAGTAGTATTAGTCCTAATAGTAGTAATTGTAGGTCAAACAATAAGTAGTAGTAGTAGTAGTAGTAGTAGTAGTAGTCGTAGTATGAGTGTCTGGGCCTGGCTGTAGAGCAGTGGAGCCTCTATCACGGGGGAACAGCAGAGGAATGCACAGATAACCTCCCAGTCAAAACAACAGAGGGGCTGCTGTGAGGAGACGCACACACAACGGGCCGACCGCCACACGGATCCAACCACAAGACAAGCACACACATTCGAACACTAGGATAACTGTGGTTTTTATTGAAAAGTTCAGTTTTAAGTAAGTAGTAAGTAAGTAAATATTTTCTTCTGGGGCCAGACAAAAACTGAAATAAAATGGAATCGTGACCCGTGTATCAACATCTTGACAAAACAGAATGGTCCCACCCCAAATACTAAAATAAAGCATCATACAGAACAGATTTTATTTATTTGACACACATTTTTTTATTTTTTGTAATGCAGGTAAAATAAATTGGCAGGCGTTAGGAGCCTAGTGTTTGGGGTTGAGGAGGACCCCGATGTGTCTGATGAACACCTGCCTGCCCTCAGTCTGAAGCTGCTTGGTCTGTGGTGCCCCTCAGTCTTCGTGAGGGCTTTCTGTGGTTCTGTGGTGGAGCGCTTAATCTGTGAAGCCATCTGCCAGGGCTCTGTCAGATGTCAGTGTGATTCTCCTCCAGAAGTTTCTTATTTTTCCGCTCAGTTTGGCTGATAAACTGTACTGGAGGATCTGAAAGAAGTTTAGAGTGCAGTGCCTGGTTTCTCTGTTCTTCTCCGAGCTCACCTCCATGCCTGCTGCTCCAAGCTTCTCCTTGCCTTCTCTACAGAGCTTTCACACTTGGTCTTCAGAGCTTGTTTGTCCAATGGCAATATGCAGATTTTGCTCTGAAGTTCCTTGTTCAGAACCTTCTTCTCTTTCAACTCATTTTGAAAAGCTGTGATGTGTCTGCTCAGCTCATCCATGCTGTTTTCAGGTTAGACTCTTAATCTTCAGCAGACATCTTTATACAGTATCACTTCCTCTTCCAGCTGCTGGTTCCTCCCTTGCTCCTCTCTCAGTTCATTTTGTAAAGAGAGTCCTCCTTGCTCAGCTCCTCAATGTTCTTTTCACTTTGGACCCTCTCTTCCTTTGCAGACTTTATCAGAAGTTGCAGTTTGTTCAGCTCTTCCTGCAGAGCTCCACTCCTCTCCCTCTCCTCTCTGAGATCGATCTGCAGAGATGTTGTTTCGGGTTCTGCTCCTTCAGTTCCAAACCTTGTCTTAAGACCTGCCTCAGAGCCTCCATCCTGGTGATAGTGACTTTGAGCGGTCCATAGCTGGTCTTCAGTTCATCATTCACCAATTTGAACATCTCCTCCTTTGTCTCCAGCTGGTCCTGCAGGCTGTAGATCTTTGTGTTTTGCAGACAGAGTTGGGCGTTCCGTTGCCTCCGCTCCTGCACCAGACTCTGGATCTGCTCCTTTGCCATGGCCAGTTCTTCTTGTTTTTCC